ATAAAATATTTGCATCATGTCAAAATAAATATTATTTCCATGTTATGCAAATTATGTATTCATTTATATCCTTAACACAGTGTGTCACTGGGTCTTCGAGCTACTTTAACTGTTTTATCAAGACTTTCCATTTCTAGTGATCAGATGTGCTGACTTGATGTTTTCATAATTAAGGCCTGTCCAATCAGCCAAATCTGGAATTCACATCTATCTTAGCCTGCCTGTATACTCATTCCTTGTATCAAGTCCTATAATATGATTTTGGAGAGGCCAGCAGATTTTATTGCATGTCTCCACCATTTCGTTTTGAGTAATTTAAAGCTGTTAACCTTAACATTTGCTTTTATTTTTACAAGTACTTCACATCTGTACAAAAAATATTTATAAAATAACAGGAAGATCAAAGTATAGTTTTGAATAGATAAATGTTTAATTTTGCACAGATCAAGGATACACAAAAATGATATACCCAGAACTGCTTGATGTCAGAATCTTCTTCAGCCACTTGAACTCCATCAGCAGGGATATACAAGGGGTTCATGATAGACAGAGCAGGTTTTTTATCCTTAGGATAAAAACAACAATAGAACTGTTCATGACATCTTCTTGCACCATCAATGTTAAGCAATCGGTTAAAATTAAATTATAAAGAAAGAAATATAATATTAAATATAACTGTATAATGCACTAAATATGTGACGGACAGAGAAGCAAGTTGTCAAAATATGGTTTAATTAAGAGGAATATGTGTGTGTATGTGTATCGGGGGTATGCATGAACATACATACAAACACATACACATGCATTTCTTACTTCTATACAATTTATTTAGTTTCAAACAGTTTTCTTTAAGTCTTCTTTACTAAAAATGTTCTAGTCACAAGGATATTTTGAAAAAAGATGATTACCTTTAAACTTTACATTTGTTTCATTGAAATTACCAGTTCATTTTTCTACAGTGTATGAAGATATTTGACAATTTAAATTTACTTAGAAATGTATAACAGGCGATGCTACATGTAATGACTGGTTGAATTCAAAATATATTTTTCAGAGTATCAATGCCTGTTATCAATAATGCATGTTATGGATGTAATAAAGAAATATACATTATAGAATAATGTATACACACATCATGTGTACACAATCTTACACATTCAAATACACACACATGTATGCATACTCTTACATTCTCATACATGTACACTCATATACAGACATACATACACGCATCTACATACATACACAAACATAAAACACACACACACATACATACATAGACATACATGCACACACACATTCCATACATACACACCTACACATGCATGCATGCATACACACACATACAATCACATATACAGACACCCACAATCCCACATAAGGAGAGATACCCAGCCATGCAGAATAATATCTGGCCTAATGTTGGGCAGAAAGTTTCAGATATTGCAGCCTTGCTGTAAACCACATAATAATGAGCTAAATGCACTTTTAAAGATGTATGCAAAAGAAGAACTAAAGAACTATTAAGCCTTTAAACAACCCCCCCCCCCCCCCCCCCCCACCATTTTTGTATGTGCCTCTCCCCCCCCCCTTTTTTCTTCAAATAACAAAGTTGGAATGTTCTACACAAAAAGATTTATTAACCTTAAAGTTTCTTACCTGAAACCTTCTTACAAACCATGACTTTATTCGTCTGCAGGATGATCATGTTAGCAGCAGATGTGGTGTTTGTGCAAAGAAGGAAAATAATAAGAAAATTAATGTCATGTATTCATGATTTTTTTTTTTTTTATAAATTACCTACTTTACAAAAGCTCTGGTGGCACATTTGCTAGCAATGCCCCAGAAGTGATGTCTTCAAATTCTCACTCAGTTTAAGGATTTTTCTTTTTTAGCTGCTTGGACTTCCAGCTTGACCTAAACTTAAAAAGTAGCAGGAAATGTCCGGAGAAGTAAAAGCACTTTACAAGATGCTAAACAGTTCACCCACAGAGAGCCAACAAAATGAAAGCTACAGGGCTAGAACCATTTGCCCAGTACACTTCAAGGCATGTAAAGGAATTTCTTTCTTCTTCTTCATTCACTTCTAAAAGCATAACTGACATGTTGTGCTGGGGTTTACTACTGGGCTGCGCTGTCTGTGCCTGTCGATCTAATACATCCTTTTTTAGATACCCTCAATTAGTCACTTCTTACGACAAGTCTGGGGAGAAATATTTGCTAACTTAATCACATATTTTTGTAAAGAAAACTAAAAGTAAGGAGTTATTACCATACCATACAAAGCATACATGGAAAGAGAAGAAGGTCGTAGAGCAAGAGGTAGACCAAGAACAATATGGAAGGATAACATCAGAGAAGCTCTACAACAGCACGATGTGCCTATGGTCGAGGCGGCCAGAAGAGCCAGAAACAGAACCTTATATCTCCCTCGACACCCACAGCGGTAAAAGAGGAAGTGAAAAAGAAGAAGAAGGAGTTATTCAATTATATTTGATAATTTGGTTGAAACATAGCTAAACAAGACCATCTTGAAATGATTTTGACAGTAGTATCAACATCAAAGCACTCAGAAAGCAATAGCAAACCAGTGGATATAAAACCGCCAAGTAAAACCACAAACAGCCAACAATTGATGCCGAGGCTGGTTTGTGACATTCTGTAAAGGAAGCTGTACACACATGTCATAACTGTAACTGACTCACAGAGTATGATGAGAAAGGTGGAGACAGGCATGCTCTATGCAGAGTGATAAGCCTTCGCTCCAGAGGTCCTGGGTAGTTAGCGTCCACTTGATATTTTCTCCAGGTCATGGTGGTGTGTTGGGAAATGAACAGCCAGATAGTTTGGCCGGTTCCGCACAACATCGTGGTCTCTCAAAAAGACTTATAGACAAACTAGAGCGCACACAGAACGCAGCAATGCGGGTCATTCTGGGTTGCACCAGAGACACTCCAGTGGTGTGTATGCGATACATCCTTGGTTTGCCGACTGTTGCAGGTAGGCACAAGGTGCTGCAGGCGAAGTCATGTCTTAGGGTAGCTGCAGACACAGACCACCCTTTGCACGAAGCTCTGAGTGCAGTTGAGAGTCAGCGGCTGATAAGAGGAAAGTCATGGATGGCTCAGGCAGAAGACACAATCAGACAGGTTTGCATCCTTGAGAACATTAGGCGAAGAGAGGAGTATGTCAAAGTGCCACCTGAACAGTCAGACTTGTGTAGGGTCATAATTACACTGAGCCGGGAATGCAGAGACTGGCCAACAGGTGCCACAGAGGTGGAAATTCAGCAATTAATTCAAGATAATGCTCGCTCAGAAGATTTGATCATTTATACAGATGGTTCAGTGTCAAGAGGCTTATGGATTCTTAGCAAAAGTTAATGGTCGACGTTTGGTGCAGGAGAGCCTAGCAAATGATACCACAACATTCAGCTTAAGAATGGAGGTGGAGACGGTCACTGCAGCTTTCCGCTTGCTAGAGAACACGATACACACACACTTAGTGATTGTAACTGATTCAGAAAGCATGCTGAGGAAGATCAGGACAGGCATGCTTCGTGCAGAGTGGCATGCCTCGCTGCGGAAGACACGGGTGAGGAGTATTGTCTGGATTTTTTTCACCAGAGTATGTCGGTGTGTTGGGAAAAGAACAGACGGACAGACTGGCTGACTCTGCACAGCTTGGTGGAATACTAATGCATGATAAGGCAGACGTGGTTAGTGCCTTGTGGGAGAGCGTGTACAGTTCGGAGGAGCAGATTGATCACCACATTGTGGTGAGGTTGATACAGTTGGGAGTGACGAGAGGTTCTGGCAGATGCTCGAGGCTCAGAGGAAAGGCAAGACGGACGTTTAATCAGAATGCTACTGGCACCATTAGTATCGGAACTCTTCGCTGGCTGCTGAAAATGGCGAAAAGCGCTTATGGGAATGCCCCAAGTGCTGTGATGTCGGCTCTTGAATCAAATCAAATCAAATCACAGACAGCCCAGATTCCCAGTCACTAGCTTTGATTTGCTTTTTTTTTTTTTATTTTCTGCTGCTGCTGTTGCTGCTTCTTTTTTTTTTTTTTGTTCTTCTTCTTCTTCATCTTCTTCTTCTTTTTCTTCTTCTTCTTCTTCTTCTTCGTCTTCTTCTTCTTCTACTTCTCCTTCTTCTTTTTCTTCCTTTTCTTCTTCTTATTTTTCTTCTTCTTCTTCTTTTTCTTCTCCTCCTTCTTCTTCTTTATGTTCAACGGCTATAACACCTGACCTCTCTGACAGAAGCACTTTGACTTTGAAGGAAACACTTCTAATTAGTCGCCTTTTACAACATGCTTGTAAATTTTTTAGTGGGTCTATCCTTGTCCCCCCCCCCCCCCCCTTTCCCTCTAAACTGGGCCCCAGAATCTACACAGGAAAGATTAACAGTAAATTTTTATAAAATTGATCCACTGTGGAGAAATACAGTTCCAATTAAAACACATAAAAATAAAACTGCTGCCAATACTGTCTAAATTTACTTCTTTTACTGTTCAGGGAGATGAGATTTTGAGCCTGAGGGTTTGAGCCTGCATGGATAGCAATCGCCACAGACTGTGCATGTTAGAATTGTATTCTTGCCCCAGAAAGAAACATCTTATAACCTTACCGATGATTTGAATCTGGTCCTTCCACATGTCTGTCCTGTGTTCTCAGCCATCTAGTCAGACACTCCTAAATAATCATAAATAAGAAAGCAAAACAAAAGCTACATCAATAACAGAGTTAGCCACGAATGTAATTCTTACCTGCGACTTTTCACAATGACAATCACAAGAACAGCAGCCACTAGACAAGCACAAGCTGTAAATAATCCTGGGTACCACGCTGTTGTAGATTGCTGCAGAGAAAACCCACAGAAAACCTTTTACACACGCATTAATTATAAAGTCATGAAAGGATTCTTAACACACAAAATGCTACTGACGGGTATCACAAGAAGCTTGTATTCATTACTAAAAACACCTTAATTACATACCTGATGTGCAGTTGAGAAGGCACGTTTTCCCTGGACAGCATCTAGAAACAATGGGCAGTGTAAATAGTCCTTGATTTTGTGAGAAACTTTATTGAGGACAAAACTAACGTCTTGATCAGAGAGTTTCTTGCCATTAACTGCCACTGTAGGGTATATGGATGTGGCTGTCTGCCTGGATAAATAACCAAGAGAATGCAAAATAAATCAGTAAAAACTCTCTTATCTAATGTATATGAATAGCTGTTGCTGTCAGTTTATATAGATAACCAACAGAATGAGAAATATCAATGAAAATCATCACATCTAGGGTATATATTTTTTAAATTGTAATTTCTTTAAACAATTTATGATTTTTATCTTAATGAAAATATGCAAAATGAAAATGAGCAAATGTGATCGTCATACATAATTGCTGTTTTGACTTTACATTTATGTGTGTGTCTTCACTAAGATCAAATGAGCGCTCTTCATTCTGAATGACGGCTGCCTGCATTGTATATTACCTGTTTGGCTTTTTTTTTTAAAGCGTAACTGTGCTGTCTAATATCTTCACTCCTTCATGTCTTGGTTCCAGGGTCCCTCAGTGGAAGGGGAAGGGGGAGGGAGGGGGGGGGGGTTGAAACAAAAACAGACATGTGACCTCTCCAAATAGCATGTCATAAGTGTTGGCTAATTGGGGGCTTCCTTTTTAAGTAGGGGTATATCTACCATAGAGTCAAGGAACCAACAGTCTGCATACAAACAAGTCAGATCTGTGAAACAGATTTGCATGCAACACTTAGGTTCTGGAACAAGACTAGAGCTCAGAGGTGGATGAATGACCAGAGTTTACACCGGTGAAGGCGAAGAAGATATATTCACGCCAGCATTTTAAATGATATCATTCCATTTACTGAATGTGTGCTTTTCCTCTGACGATGGTTCTGTCATGGTATTTTATGTACCACAATATTTTACTAGTTCACCATCCAGGTGAGATTCTCAAAGTCTCAGGGGTGATCAGACCTTCAGATAGCAGCTTAGATGATGAAACAGATGGCAACAAAACAAAACAAAAAACATTTTTTTTAAAATAATGAAATCTACCCACACAAAAATAATAATAGAATGTGTGTTTTTTCCCAGGTAACTTACAAAAGACAGTTATGTTTATACTAGAGACAGCATGGCAGATATAGATACGTTTTTTCAAGTAAAAAACGTTTTTTTTTTTGGGGGGGGGGGGGGGGGGGGGGGGGTGGGGGGGGGGGGGGGGGGGGTAGTGTTCCTCTCTCTGGGGTTGCAATCTGTAAGATTAACAATCCTCAGGTATGAGGGGAAAAAATCTCTTTAATCTCATATTGCCCTACAGCACAGTTATATTGGGCTGTCGCAAAACAGAGCAAAGTAGCTTGTAGTCTAGTGCTGACTGGACTGTCTTTCTACCCCACTAGGACATCACACAAGCGATAAACACCCGATGACACAAAGTGCCATCATGTGGATGAGGATCACAGTGGAGAGGTCCCAGAAACCGCGTTCAGACAATTGGCCATATTTATGGCCTGCCTATATTGCGGCCTCTGGCAAAAGCCAGGATGGGGCTTCAAATAGAAAAAATAGCATCCTTGAAAGGACGTGGAACAATTGGATTGGCTTTTTACCCCACCAGGACATCACACAAGCGATAAACACCCGATGACACAAAGTGCCACCATGCGGATGAGGATCACCGTGGAGAGGTCCCAGAAACCGCGTTCAGACATTTGGCCATAATGATGACCTGCCTATATTGCGGCCCCTGGCAATAGCCAGAGTGAGGCTTCAAATAACAAAAAATAACGTCCTAAGAAGGACGTAAGGAATATGTGCATAAGTCTAGTGCTGACTGACTTTCTACCCCACCAGGACATCACACAAGCGATAAACACCCGATGACACAAAGTGCCACCATGCGGATGAGGATCGCCGTGGAGAGGTCCCCAGAAACCGCGTTCAGACATTTTGGCCAATGTATGGCCTGCCTATATTGCAGCCCCTGGCAAAAGCCAGGGTAGGGCTTCTAATGACAAAAAATTTCGTCCTAATAAGGACGAAAATGGATGATAACACATATGAGTCTAGTGCTCCTGGTATACACAGTTAGATTATCAATAGTGCTATCAAGATTCTGCTTTATGAGAGTGTACTGAAAGACTTTTTGCGATATCTGTGTACAAAAAAGTTATCATAAACACTAAACAAAACATTCAGACCAAGTTTTGAATAGCTTATAATTAAAAAGAAACATCTGACAATACTTTTTAAACAAGATTACCCGTTCTTGAATGTTTCTGCCTGTGATCTGTAAACGACTGTTAGTTCCTTCCCTTGAAACATATGAGTGTCTAGAAACATTTGCTTCAGACCTTTGTTGATAGTCCATTCCATAGTGGGCTTGATTGTGCATGCCAGGTAGAATGGCACAGATATATCTGACAATTACCCACACAATTTGTCAGTATAATGGGTGAGAATAGTTTCATGTTTCAGTGGTTGGTAAACGTGTATAATGCTCTCATCATCATCATCATCATAGTTTCCTAAAACTGTGTCACGGGGTCACAAATTGCTGTTAAATGTTTGATCAGCTCCTTCCACCTTTGATGTTCAGATGCAATGGACTTCATGACTGCAGGCCTAAGGCCTGTCCAGTCAATCCAGTTCTGTATAAAGGTCTTTCTTGGTTTCCTCTCTTCTCCTCTGCCTATTTATTGAGTCATGTAGCAGTTTTTTTGTTTTTTTGTTTGAGGGGCCGTTAGATCTTATTACATGTCCGTAATATTGCATTGTCCATTATTCCACTGTAGTTTTAAAAAAACGTGCATAGTTGCCAATATGCTGGTTAATTATATGGTGAGCCTCCTTGTTTGTGATGTGGGATAATGCTCTAAGGAATGATACATACCCGTGATGGGTACAGTAATATTTAACTGATAACCGGGTGCTTTAAAAACCTATTCACGGGGAGTTTTCACGCTTGTACGAACTAATGACAACATCTGGTAAAAGCAAATGTTTTATCTAATAAAACCAAGATCACGACAGACAATTTTGCCATATGACTGAAACTTGGATTAAACAACAAAAAAGAAGCTTTTTTGTAAACAATTTTAGGAATTATGAAACATTTGTGGACCATATTAAAGATGAAAATAGAATAGCGGAGAATGAGGGGTGATAAGCAAATCCTCAAAAAATTGTAATCTGTTGAATGGCAGATAACTGAGAGATGAAATCTATGTACACAAAAGAGTTGAATGATAGTAAACCACTAGACAGACCAAGAAGATGGTAAGGAGATAATATACAAGAACATTGTCAAATACTTGGAGCTAGCAAATGAGAAGAGAAGATAAATCCCAGAGATGAATGGAGATAAGTGATATATGCAGCAAAGCGCCTCAACGGCTGTTCAAATGATAACTTTATGGAACGGAATGAGTTAAAAGGAGATTTGCAGATACGACCAGAAGGCTAACAAGCAAACATGCTTCTCACTTCGCTACCATGGCTATCTGTAAAAATAATTGCTTTTTCATCTTCTCTAACCTGTTTTGCCTCTCAGCGTTAGGTTTTGAAGAGGCATGGTGAGCAAGCCAGGTTTTTAAGACCTCTAATATTCCATCAATTCGTCATATCAGTCCGATTTTGCTTTTGTTTCTTCAAGCAAGATTTAGTCCATTGCTGGCTTGCTGAGCCTTTCACAGTTTAATGGAGAATTTAACCGGATAGATCCCATCCAACATGGCAAGCCACCGCCCCATTAGCCTGAGACCTCGTGGCCGACTGCCATCCTTATACATTGTAAAATGCTTCTGTATATTTGGTTTTGGAAAAAAAGTCATTTATCCACACATGCAGTGCAGATTATTTATCTATGACAGAGTGAGAAGTATTCATATTTAGATGTTGTTTTCTTTAAGCTGCATTCTTCCGCTGGGACTTTGACCTTAAAGGTTTCATACCTAGTGACTGAAGAGTCACTGTTAAGACACCAGTTCATCAGAAAAAAATCCTACTATGTTCAGCTTCATAAATGTTATATCGGGGTACCCAATAGCTGCAAAAGGACATGGTCAGATATGACTAAGTTGACATATAACAGTAGTCAGTACTACCTGTTCTCTTGTAGTGCTGAATAATGAGTGATTTATACCAAACTAATCAGTCTACACTGGGCCAGTGGCTGCTGGTGCATTAAGCAAGAAGAGGAAATGCAACCTAAAAAATGAAAAGTTATGACAGGGCAGACCAGGTCACTAGCCTTGTTTAGCACCTGGTCTAGGAGAAAAGCTCCAGCAGGCAGACTTAACACTGCTCTTTTGATCGAGCAACGTCTGCAGTAAACTTTATTTTTCCAAACGCACTAATGGAACTTTTCCTGTGGTATAAACAAAGAGAGCTTAGAACAGAATTATGCTACACGTGGAACACAGTCTCTACAATACTGCCCAGGCTTTGTGCTATGGAGTTATATTTGGTAATCTGGTAATCTTAGTTTCAGCTTAAGTGCAAACGGGTCACCCCATCGTTGCTCCGCTTCTGTGCCGACGAAAAACACACATAATGTTTATCACAGTCTCTTTTGTAGAAAGATTGACAGACTGCTGTCTAGCATATGCACTAGCATACACACGCATTACATACGGTAGCCATCCTAATTGCTAACACAACCTAAGTGCTAACACAAACAGTCCGACATTAGAAATGCAGTTCATCATGGATGGTAGCAGAAGTCACCAACAGATCAGCAGTTGCACACACGATCAATTTTAATCACATAATGGCATCACCAATATTGAAACAACCGGCATCGCCCCATTTTCTGAATCTACAATTCACAACACCACGTTGGTTACAGTCGAAAAATATTCCAAATAAAATCCTCAGCTTACAGTGTCAGTCCATGCACTCAACTCAGAAACTGGGCAACGAAACTATATCCTTTCAGTCTACAAATGGAGCAAAAATGCAACAACTACCACCTGGCAGGAGCAAAAAATTTGCCTCGGCTCAAATCAGTGGCCGTGCCTAGCGTCCATTTTGACCGGTGGAGTTACATTTGCTCTCAGCTGGCTTGTGATTGCCCTGTCTTCCTATAACATTCCTATAGCATAATATAACACTATCGTCTAGAAAGATAGAAAGGTTCCAACAGCTTGCTGCGAAAAGTAACCTGATGTCCTGTGTGAATAGGGGATATAAATGTTAATGAAGACTTTGATGCAGTGATTACGTTCATTAATCTAACATGCATCCATAAAAAAGCAGTTTCTGCAAAGATTACATTCCCATGCAAATTGTGTGACTGTTACCTTGTTTTTCCCTAGTAATATTAAAATTGTCTTCTGTATTCACAGTTGTATCATTTGTGGTGCTTGCTTTAGTGGCTTGAAGCTCGCTATTCCCACTGTAATCTTCATTTGTGAAATCATTGAATACTGTACTTGTTTGTACATTCAGAAAAGTTTCCTTCGTAACTGCTGTAGTGTTAATTGTATGAACACTAATCATGTGGCTATAACCAGTGTCATTAGACATTGTTGCTGTAGTGTCGTAGATTGCTTTTGTTTCATTTTTGTAATCTACTGTACTTTCAAGTAAAGGTGTAACTGTGCTAATTTCATTATCACAGTTCTCACCAGCCCATCCTTCAGAACATGCACATAGAAAACCTGGATAAGTATTTAAACATACTGTATGATATGTGGTCAGACTTCCTTCAGAAAGAGCATTACTATCTGTAGAATTATCTACGAGTGAGCATAAATCTGGGTTTTCTAAACACTCATCAATGTCTTCATCACACAGTTCTCCTGTCCAGCCTTCCTGGCAAATGCAGACATATCCAGGGTTAGAGTTGACACACAGAGTATGGTAAGTTGTTGAGTTTTCTAGTTGAGAAGCAATCACTTCTACACGGCAAATGCCTGGAGACATAAGGCATTCATTGATATCCTCATTACAGAAGGGTCCAGTCCAGCCGTCCTCACATGTACAAACAAAGCCAGGGTTAGTGTTAGTACATAATGTATGATAATCTGTAGTATTTTCTGTGTCAGTGAAATTACCTATTGCTTTACATACGTCTGGAACCAGCAGGCATTCATTGATGTCCACATCACAGAGAGGTCCTGTCCAGCCTTCTGCACATTCACAATGAAATCCACCAAGCATATTGTGGCATGTGGCATTATTTCTGCATGGAGATACCTCCATGGCACATTCATTTACATCCTCCTGACATCGGTTACCTTGCCAGCTTATAGGACATTCACACTGAAACCCTCCTGGTGTATTACTGCATGTTCCTAGGTTACTGCAGTGTCCTAGTTCACATTCATTGATGTCCTCTTCGCATCTTAGCCCAGTCCATCCTTCCACACAGGCACAAGTAAAACTGCCAAAGCTGTTAATGCATGTTGAATTGTTTTGACAAGTTGTGTCTAATTCACATTCATTCATATCCGCTTCACACAGTGTTCCAATAAACTCTGTGGACAGACGCAGAGAAATCCTTCATTAACATTCTCACACTTTCCATCATTGTGGCAAGGATCAGAAAGACATTCATTAATATTTTCTTCACAGGTCTTTCCTTCCCAAAATTCTGTGCAGGTACATTCAAAATGTCCTTCAAGGTCAGTGCATGTACCACCATTTTTGCAAATTTCCTCCAGGCACTCATTAATGTTGTGTTCACAGTTGTATCCTGTGGAACAAAAATATATTTTGACTTTTGACAATTGGGCGGGATGAGAAATATAAAAATATTAATATATAAATAACCTCAAACTAAACACTGAATTTATAGAAATATTTTTTTTAAAAATAGATTTTCCGCACGGTAACTATAGCTTTCAATTTTTATATTGTCTTTTGTGTTCTTCTATCTTTTAACTTCTTTCCATGAGTGCCTGTCAACACATTTTCTGTTACTTGATTAATACAGAATTTAAATGTGTGTGCAAATGAATAACATATTTTTAAAAAAAAATCACTAATTAAATTATTTGTGCATAATACAAAGGGTTACTGGAATTAGCTTCATGATTCTAACATGCCAAATTTAATTCAGGCGCAGGAAATGTGGCAGGAGCATTGTAAAAAGCAATAGGAAACTATTGAATGTAAAATTGCCTAGTAAAGCCACAAACAGCTAAAATATGCTGCAGTTAGTTTTCAATGTCCTTGAAGGAAAATGAATGATTAAAAAATTAAATAAATTGTGTAGTAGCAGCTACTAACTCAGGCCTAAACTTATTCAGTCCGCGTAAACTGTGCAAAATCATGATCTAGTCTCCAAGATTTTTAAAAAAAATCTCTCCACAGTTGTGAAGTGTCCCTATTTGGCTTCAACACCACACTAGTTTCTGATCTAAGAAGGTAATTAACAGCTCTGCAACACAGTCCCTATGTAAATGCTACTTTGGTACAGAGTTGAGAGTCTAATGTCCTTACATCATCTTCATTCTTCTTCTAAGTCTTCTGTTTCTTCTTTTTGTTATTATTATCCTTTTTCTTCTTCTGCTTCCATCCCTAAAAGGTGGTTGGCATATTGTATCGTGGTTTACAGCTACGCTGTGATATCTACCCATTTGGTCCTAAAACATCCAGTTTCAGTAAACTCCTAATTAGTTACCTTTTACAACATACTCTTAGGGGCTAGGGAATCGATGCTCTTTCCCCCACAATTGGGTCTGGAACCTGAATGAGAATCCTCACTCTAAAAGACGAAAACTCTCATAAGGAATTTGACAAGAAGGAATGCCACTGTGTTATTTTTTTAAGAGTTGATAATTCATTTTCCAAATGATTTCTGTGTGACTAATCAACATATTGTACCATATTTCACAATATAGCTTAGAACGAGTTTATAAATGGTTGACAAAATAAATGAGGCTGGATGGAGACAACTTCATTAAGTTCGAAATGACTTTTGAAGAATGAGAGGCCAGTCTTTAAATTTGAATATTTTAAAGCAATTACCACAAGCTGCAAATAAATTTTATTCAAGTGTTCAGGTGTATGATAGACCTTGCCATTGGTAATATATATATTTTATGGATGTCTAATTTGCCATGTGTTCAAGGAGACTTCTTCCTGAACTGAACTGCCATCGGCATCTGTAGGTGACTTGTTTGATTCCCAAACTGACATCTATAGTTTACAATGTTTATGCTGTCTAGTGACCCGTCTGTTCCTTCCCCCCCCCCCCCACCGCCCATTTCATCTGTTCTATAAGTATCAATCAGTGCATTGAAATGTGTTTATCATGCTGTTTCTATCCTTAAGTGCTGCCATAAATAGGGATGACTACAGCCGAGCAAAAAAAAAAAACGAGAAGTACTAAATAAAACATAAAACATGACTTGAAAGCTCAGAAGAGGAAACGGAAAAGACTCACATATATATATATCTGAACTTTTCTACTAAAGTCTTCACCAAAAGTGTACTAAATACAACACAAAGTATAACTATAAAACGCAAGACTCCTTCTATTCTAGGCTGTTCACATGTTAAGCTTTCCTGGCCCATTCATTTATCATTGAAATGTATCAAATCTCTAAGTAAAAAATAACTAAGAAGTGTAATGTATATAACCAACGAATGCAGGATGAGTTTCTTTAGGCACCAAATGAGTTAAAGACATAGTGACATACCTGTGTACCCTTCTGTACAGTTACAAGAATAGCTTCCAGCCAGGTCATGACACGTGCCTTTGTGTTTGCAGGGGTGACTCAAGCACTCATTTACATCAATTTCACAATACTGTCCTGCAAAACCACTCTGGCACTGACAGATGTAACTTCCTGGGGTGTTTACACAAATACCATCATTGTGACAAGTTGTGTTTGAATCTCCACACTCATTGATGTCAATGTCACAGTGAAATCCTGGGGCAGAGGGTAAGGTATATGTATAATTTACTTTACGTTTAACACTTCTAATCTATAATAAATAATAATGCAATATTATAGTCAAATGCATTAAACTAACATTAACATCATGTATTTGAACAGTTTTTGAACAAGACTAAATGTCCAGAAGTGAGTGAACAATCATAACTTTCCAATAGACTTTACAGCTGGTGAACGCGAAGAAGAAGAAGAAAATACAAGCACGTCCGATTTGATCTGATTCAAGAACTGACATCACAGCCCTCGGGGCGTTCCCATTTGCGCCCCGTCCCCATATTCAGCAGCAAGCGAAGAGTTCCAGTAGCATTCTGATTAAACGTCCGTCTTGCCTTTCCTCTGAGCCTCGAGCATCTGCTAAAACCTCTCGGCACTCCCCCCCCCCCCCCCCCGCATCAATCTCGCCAGACTGTGGTGATCCATCTGCTTCTCCGAACTGTGCACGCTCTCTCACAAGGCATTAACCACGTCTGCCTTATCATGTATCAGTATTCCACAAAGTTGTGCAGAGCCAGCCAGTCTGTCCGCCTGTTCTTTTCCCAACCCAACACACCAGCGTGCCCCGGTAAAAAAATACAGACAATACTCCTCACCCGTGTCCTCCGCAGCGAAGCATTCCACTCTGCACAAAGCATACCTGTTCTGATCTTCCTCATCATGCTTTTTGAGTCAGTTACAATCACAATGTGTGTGTGTGTGTTGTGTTTTCTAGCCAGCGGAAAGCTTCAGTGACCACTTCGACCTGCATTCTTAAGCTGGATGTTGTGGTATCATATGCTAGGCTCTCCTGCACCAAACGTTGACCATTAACTTTTGCTAAGAAGCACCAAGCACTTCTTTTGCCTCTTGACACTGAAATATCTGTGTAAAGGATCAAATCCTCTGAGCGAGCATTATCTTGAATTAATTGCTGAATTTCTACCTCCGCTGCACCTGCTGGCCAGTCTCTGCATTCCCGGCTCAGCGTGATTATGACTCTACGCAAGTCTGACTTTTCAGGTAGCACTTTGACCCACTCCTCTCCTCGCCTAATGTTCTCAAGGATGCAAACCTGTCTGATGGTCTTTTGCCTGAGCCATCTACGACCTCTCTCTTATTAGCCGCTGACTCTTAACTGCACCCAGAGCTTCATGCAAAGGGTGGTCTTTGTCTGCAGACACAGCACGAAAAAAAAAAAAAAAAGGCCCTAAAACAAATGTTAATGAGAGAGGCTAGACATTGTAATTTGTGTATTTCAGTTAATGCGATTCATTTTTGTACTTCATTACACGTTGATAGGGAAAGGGCGGGGGTGGGGGGGTGGCGAAGAAGGTTTAAAGGGAGGTGTCAAGTAGTTTTGAAAGTGTTGTTGTAGTTTAATTATAAATAAAGATATTTTCAAACTATTTATTAAACAAATTGCGAGGCCATGTTTGTTTTTATGATCAGTTTGTGAAGCAACCATTAAAAATCTAATTAATATGATAAAACATACATTTAATAATAGATTAGGAACACATTGTGATCAAAACGTAACTCCATACTTTGTGCTTCCCTTGTTGCGAGATCAAATGTCCTCTTTTAAATCGCATTTAATTATGTTGAGTTGGGTGGGGGGGGGTGGGGGGGGGGTGGGGGGGTCGTCGTTAGGTTCTTGCAATTTACCCCGTATACTGCTCTTCAGGGTTTAAGTGATAAATTCACACAGCTTGGTCATAAACATAAAGGTATGATTGAGGTCTGTACTGGTGTGCCCTATAGTTTGTCTTGTGTAACCACTTTAGCTTTTGACATAAGAGTTAAGGCAGTCCACTTGCAGATTCTATACAGGCAACAATCTTGACCTAGATTGTTGCAGTTTAAAAATGCCAAATTGTGGTCAAAACAAACAAAAATACCTAATTGAGCAGCAACAATATTATAAACTTTCCTAATTGTTTAAAATTAAATTTTGTATTAAATTGAAACAACAACAAAAACAAATAAAACCCATATACTGTGCGCAGTTGTGAAAGCAAAAGATTTACAAACCTTCAAACCCCATGGGACACTGGCAGCTGTATCCGCCATGAACATTTGTGCAGACGCCGTCATTCTTGCATGGATATTGATTACACTCATCAACATCCAATGAGCAATCATTGCCATGGAAACCCAGCAAACAATCGCAGTGGTGTCCACCATCAGTGTTCACGCATGTTCCATTGTTCTTGCAGGGGCTAAGCTGGCACTCATTAATGTCTTCGTCACAGAGTTTTCCTGTATTGCAAGCACAGAAGTGGTATCTATGTTCAGATCATATTTTATACTACGGTAACTGCACCTTTATAGTATTTACAGTAAGTGAGCAAACATTAGGTTCGACTTTGAGCGATGACTGTCGCCCAGCCTACAAATCATATAATGTCCCATGAGATAAAAGCAGTCAGTTTGCTGGTGACTGCCTTACCCATCAAGTGGTTTACCTTTGATAGTGTTTAAACAAACCACAACAAATTAGGTGGCTTTCTATATAAGTACAGAAGAACCCTATAAGCCAATGGCGCATTGGGCAAATAGTTCTTGTTCCGTATTTCATAGACCAGTCAACATTAGAGCGTACATCCCCATGACATCAGAAAATAGCCCTATCGTTTCTTTAAAAAAAAAATTTCCTTCTAGTCATTTTATGAGTATAAATAGCAGAAATGGAAAAGTCTCCAAAACAATATTTATCAAGTCAGTGCCAAGGGTGAGAAATACAGTATAAAATTAAGCACAGAGAAGACAGCGGCAATGGTGATAGGTAGACAATCAGAAACTATATAAATAAATAACTAACATAGAAGTAAAACAAAGAAGTGAATTTAAATATCTAGAGTCCACTTTTGGTGAAACAGGCAGTTGCGTTTGACTGTTGTGGAATTTCTTTGCTTCATTTTTGTAATTTTTATTGTAGTATGCACCTGATGAGATACAGCGAATAAATTATGCAATCTATTGTCTGTTTCTTCTTTATTCAAAATTCTCATTTTGTTTTCTGCATACATATTTATTAGGTATGGTGAGAGTGTGCACCCCTGTCTCACTGCCTTTCGTACCTCGAACCAATCCGATGGTTACTGTAACTAATAGGCGAAAAATCATAACAGAAAGTGTATGTCTTATGAGAGCTCAGGAATCACAAGAAGAGGTAAAATAAAAATGAACAAATTCATAGAAACAGGACTAAACCAATTATACAATGCATTTAAGAGCAACTGCTGCGATAGTATTGACAGCTGACGAAAATGCCCTGGTATCAACAGCCACAGAAAGCTAATCTGACGAAATATAATAGAGCGAGAGGAAGACCAGACAAAAATTGAAAGAAAGTTTTAAAAACAGCCTTAAAGAAATGAAGATCGACTGAGGCAATGCGTTAGAAAATTTGCAAAGAATGTTTTTACATAACCCACCCCTTTCTCAGCGCTATGGTGAGTAGCAAGAGAAGAAGGAGAAGCAGGAGGAGGATGAGAAGATGAAAGCGTTCAGCCATTTTACGTGGCTGTATGAACCTGTGAACTAAATATTTGAAAACAAAAACATAGCAAAACTTCAGAT